AAAGTGACCAAACTTTGTCTTTCAAACACATCTAAATTCAGCTTAGCACTGCAAAGTCTTCAGCTGAAACTCTTAATAGTCCTCAAGTTTCGGGGTGTCACAGAGTCACACTATGACCTGTGTGGAATGTGACATGGGACACATGTGGTCTCATGTAGTATGAGACTGGAGGATACAAGAGGGTCTTGTCCTGAGTGCAGTTTCCAATTTTGGACTTGGTGACTAGAAACTCCACACTAAGGAGATATAAACAGAAACATGTTCTCTATGGGCCAGAAGCACTGTTTTAGATAACAATCTCAGGAAATTACATCCTGCTGTGAATGTTGGGTTTTAACATCATGCTGGAGAGGCTTGTGGCATCAGATTTGTGTTTTCTGTACACTGGTTTGTATACGCAAACATTTAGGATTTGAGTAATGAAATGTTTGTTGTTATTCCCAGTTCTTGTTGCTGATGTATCTGGTCACGTTCGTGGGAAACCTCTGCAATGGCCTTACCTTGCTCATCATCGGTATGATGTCCAACTTTACAACTTTTTTTTTTCTTTTAGTTATGCTGTGTAACTTGCATCAGTATAACTTGCAAATCTACACATATGCATAGGCCTCAAAGATATTTAGACATTTTTGTGTCCAGTTACATTACATTTACTATGAAGAATTTACATATAATATGATGCTTTACGAGCAGTTAATGCTAAATGCTTTTTTAACTAGTTCTTTCTCCTCTTGTCATTATTTGCTGTTCAGGTGTGATTGCGGTCTTCTCTGTCCCTCTGTTTTACACAAAGCACCAGGTAACACAATCTCTGTGGGCTTTAATGACAGTGACATCTCATCCATATTCTCTATGTATTTCTCTGTGTAGTTCAGTTAGACATATTTTATATTCAAATAAGCCTAATTACTGGATATAATAAGAAACATTGTTTACAAATGTTACAGATGTCAATGTCTCAGTGTGATTAGTTACCATGTGTTTGGCATTGCTGACGTTAAATCTGGGATAATGTGTCTTCCCACAGCATAATTTTGAATTGAATTTGTCATTTTAATTGTAGAGGAGAAAGTCTTCCTGATTAAATGTATAAATTTATATCATTATTATTTAAATTAATTGTAATGAATAAGCACATTAAACTGACAGTCCAGTGATTCATTTATAAATTGGTGATGGCTTAGGTGCAATGATATGGAAATGGAAAAAAAAAAACAATATACTGATTTCTAAAGACACTACAGTATTTGTAATATTTATTATAGTGAATTTTCTGAGCAAATATTGAAAAATCAGTTAATTTGATTTTTTAATCGACAGCCCTACACTGAAAAAAAAATTACTTTGAAACAAATTTTACTCCGAAATTGCTAATCAATTTCACAAATAATTATAAACAAACACTGAAATTCTGAAGTATAAAGACTGAAAATATGTTTTTTGTAAAACATACTCAAATAATCTTTGTTTTATTTACAACCTCAAAAAATAGTTGTAATACTATTAACACATATATTGCAGCTCATGTAACTCTCTTCTTTTTCAGGACAAAGTGGACAGCTGCTTTGTAGCAGTGCAAGCCCATTTTGACAACATAAAGGACTTGTGAGTATAGCGCCATCTACTGCAGGCAGTGATTTATATCTTCCTTTCATTTCAGTGCTTAAATATGACTCATGATATTTGTGATCATAATAGTTAATCAGACAGTTCTGATCTCCGTTTACCAATAAACATTGGTTCTCTAAATCTATGACAGAGCACAAATGATACTTTACTCTAATTGTATTTTTGTCTGTTGAACAGCCTTCATCGCCTGGCCCAGGGTGGCGGACCACCCCCCGACCCCACTCCCGGTGGCGCTAAACCCAAAGCCCATTGAGACACCTCTCAGAGGAGGAGGAGCTACACACTGTCACTCAAAAATGTCTTAAATAGCAGTTTGTGCTCAGAGGCCCTCAGAGCAGTGGGGGAGGGGCTAATATACAGGGCCTTATATAGGAGGAGATACGGATTTAAGGAAGGACCACGCAAAGAACAATCTTGGATGAAAATCAAAGGCTTTGGAATTCTGAGAAGTTAAAGACACATTTTCATTTCCACATTTCAGTGTCAGTATGAGTGTATGAATGAAACAGACCACTAAGATACTTGAGCCACCCGTACAATAATGGCCCCTTGAGAGTTATCTGAATAAACATGGATGACTTCAGTGAAGTAAAAGGAGTTAGAATCCAGACTGACTGCAGTTCGCCTGCCAGAAACATAATGCAGGACCAGTTTCCAAATGGGGTTTTTACTTCTGACAGTCTCAAAATATCTCATTGTGTTGGTGTGTGTGTGTGTGTGTATGTGTGGGCAGCTTAAAGTTAAAGTATCTAAGAGCTATTAAAACCACAATGTTATTTTCTTTTCCAATGTTTTGTTTCCTTCGTATCATTTCAGTGTAAGTTTGATTTCCCATCGAAGCAAATCACTCTTGCCACCCTATCCCAAAACTTGACCGCACCACATACTTGACTGCTGACCTTTGTACAAAAACACGTCAGAAGAATCATCACGTGGCTTATCACTGAGGTCAGCTGGGCTTTTGACCTCATGTGGCAGAATGAATCAGTCAAATGTCTTTTGCCATCTACAACATCCCTAGTAGATGGCCTTTTAAAAGTAGGGAGTTAATGGCTTAAATTTAGTTCTTTTGGCACACAAAAATATTGTATGGCTTCAGATGGCATGGAATATAGTGCATGAGATATATGGGTAAAACAGGAGCTATACTTACATATAAGCCATATTCTAGGGACCAGAACTCTTGTGACAAGTAATACACTGTAGCATACTTTTAAAAAAGAGTACTGATTACCAAAAATAATATACTTCAAGTATAGTGTAATGTGTATTGTCAAATGTACTGGCACAGATTTAGCTATGAGAAATTCAGATATACTTGAATGTGGTTTCTCTTTTTAAAAAAAGATATATATTTGTAATTACACATTTTTAAAATATATTAACCTTACATGTAATATCAAATAACAATGCAGTTAAAATTATAATCAAGCTTTTTACATGTGCTTTAATATGTTAGTCATCAAAATATGTGTACTTCTGTAAAACACAACAGAAGATTTAAAATCTACTTTAAAGTAAAACCTTTCATTTGACATTATTACAGAGTGCACTTTTTAAAAATGTTTCCATGGCCATTAAGCAATGGAGGGTCAGCAAGACTATTCATATAATTCCCTTCCTCCCTCTGCACTCTTCCTGAAAACATCAGGAAGCCATTAAGCCTTAAAAGGTTTAGTCACAGGCCTTGAGTGGATGCTGATAGTACTTCCTTTTAACACATGTTGTAGTTTCACTTTTCACTTTTTTTGTTTCGTATGCAATATAGAGAACTTTGTTTTAGGCCAAAAGCTTATACAAAAACTGAAACACACAAGATAGGATTTTTGGATCATTTTGTGCATGTTGTTATAGTGACTGAGGCTTTCAAACTTAAAAAAACACACCAAAAGTATTATAAAACTGATATATACAGTATCTCACAGAAGTGAGTACACCCCTCACATTTTTGTAAATATTTTATTATATCTTTTCATGTGACAACACTGAAGAAATGACACTTTGCTACAATGTACAGTAGTGAGTGTACAGCTTGTATAACAGTGTAAATTTGCTGTCCCCTCAAAATAACTCAACACACAGCCATTAATGTCTAAACCGCTGGCCACAAAAGTGAGTACACCCCTAAGTGAAAATGTCCAAATTGGGCCCAATTAGCCATTTTCTCTCCCCGGTGTCATGTGACTCATTAGTGTTACAAGGTCTCAGGTGTGAATGTGGAGCAGGTGTGTTAAATTTGGTGTTTAAATTTGGTGATTTCGTGGAGATACTGTACATTGTCTTGTGTCCAGCTAGCTGCAAGAAAACATGCTGTCATAATTACCTATAATGTCCTCATCAGACATTAAGCTATAGACAGATGTGTGATTTCAGAAACATATAATTAGTTTTGCATTTATTTACACAGACAGAATCTTTCTTTCTCATACAATTTAATAACAAACTAAGTTTTTTTTAATGAATGTAGCTCTAGTCCCATACAGTCAGTTTAATTCAAATTCAATACATTTATATATGTAGACACATCTTATATTACATATATGCATATTTCATAATATGTATACATATTGTACATGAATTTCTCAAAATAAATATTAAATAGCGCAGTTGTATATATTGACCACAAGGTGGCAGGAAAGCTCAGTTTAATAGCTGCCAAAAGGAGACGGTGAATAGGATCAATCAGATGTAAAATAACGGCATATTATTCAATTCTGCTACTAAAGTTTAATACAAATTATCATTATAGTGTGCTGTAAATATTAATCGTTCAATTACTTTAAAGACATTGCTATATGTTATAACCCCAACGTTTTAGGGATTTTTTTATAATCAACCTTTCAACATTTAATATTCATAAACATAAATGTGTTTAATGAGCGCCTAAATTGCATACTTTCCTCTTAGATTAATATTTAAAATAACATTTTAATGGGACCATGTTTCCAAATCCTCTAGAGTAAAACATTTGCTCTCTGACGTCAAGAGGACCTGCCAATGTTTTATCTCAAAATAATTTTTGTAAAAATAATTTTAAAAAAAAATGCATTAAACAAAAATAAAACATTACCTTTCACCACAGTTAGAATGCTACAAAGCAACCTTTCCGTTATGATTGCTTATGCTTGCAATAAATAAGACATATATTCAAAATGTATGACATTATAGCAAAATGAGGCAATGTCATATAAAACTGTTCAAATTGGAGCAGTACTCTGAAAATGAAGAACCAACAGCCATCGCCATTGTTTCTAGTGGAACAAATGTAATGAATATGCTGAAGCAGCCATGTGAGGAGGGAGGAGCTAGTCAAATGAAGGCTGACTATAAAGGCTGCCTCTCTCACTCCTTGCCCAGCTGTTGTAGGTTCTTTAAGTTTGTAGATTTCGTGGAGATACTAAGTATTTGGATCTTGTAAAATTGACGGTTTACGCGCACTGCACCGGATCAAGCGCATTTACGCAGTGCTCGTAGTGTTTAGTCGTTTATAGAGGCTTCTTATTGATGGTTTTTTCCTGGGTCACTCCATTAGGAGTGTGCGATTCACCTGCGGTCGAGCAGCGCGTCATGGATTACAGTAACCTGATGGCGCCTCCGGTGCCGCCACACAAACCCATGTCCCCCCGGCCTGCGCACTGCCAGGGGCGCCTGTTAAAGTGCGTGTTTCTCGGGGATGGAGCTGTGGGGAAAACCAGCCTGATTGTCAGCTACACAACCAATGGATATCCAACAAAATACGTCCCGACAGCGTTTGACGATTTCTCAGGTGAGTCTTTGGATTCGTATAATGATGCCGCATCAGTTGCAAACAAATGCACGAACTGTTCATAGAACTAATTTCACTTTTCCAACCATTTTGTCTGTGACTTTTTGCCTAGAACTCTAGACTTTTTAGCTTGTAGCTTAAGTTTTTTTCGGATGTATGAAGTCAGTTCTCCTCAAGTTCACAGGTGTGAACACAGGAACCACAAATACAGTTCATTACTAACTACATGACAGACTTTGTAACCTTCATTTGGAACATTGTTATAGTTTCAACCCATTTTCACCTGTTTTTTTTTTTTATTATTATTATTGTTGTTATTATTATTATTATTGTGTATAGTGTTCTTCTTAACAAGCATGCTTGTTTAATATTATTGATTAAATCCATTTAAATAGTATTTTGTTTTTTCATGTCATCTCTTCATTTGGGTCAACAGAAGCCAGATTAAAAAGTCAGATATTTATTAATATTGACAAACCAGTGAGTTCATTCAGAATACAAGACTGTTTAAAACTGGTCTTGATATATTGATACACTGGAGAGAAAAAAAATAATATAAAAATAAATGGTTTTATTCAAGTCTAAAATGATTAAACATCACTGAATCAACTTAAATGCATTCATTTATACCAACAAAACTATTTTTATCTGGTAGAAATGGGTCTTTAAGGTAATAACTGCAGGTTACCACATTTACAATGTATAGAGAACTGTAACAGTCTGAAAATCACTCATAAACTGAAATTCATCAGAGCATGTATGATGCTGAACTCATAAAATATAATATGAAAGCAAGAAATATTTGACCACCAGGTGCAAGACTGAATTCGATGACTGATTTTATTCGTTTTCATAAATATAATCGTGTTGACAAAAAAATTGGGACATAGCTGTGAAACAGGAGAGAGGTTTCAGGAAAGTTGATTTTTAGTGCCAATTTACTGCACTAACTTGAGTTTGTTTCCTTGGACCTGAAATTAGTCAAGTATTAGTCCCTTGCGTTCTTAATGGAACCGAAAGCAGTGCTTTAAAACTCACTATGTAGTACTATAACATCATTTTCACTCGAAGTGTTTCATAATTTGTGAATGGACCTCAAACAAGAGCCAGTCAGTGGTCAGATCCCACAAGCATGTCTTTGTAATTAGAAAGGCCTTGCGTAATAATGCCTGACCTGAAAATCTGGCCCCTAAAATCCATTGGGTCCACTTGTGTGAATCTGTGAGCAGATATTGTGTGCTGGAGCCTGTGACGATGTCACGCTCCCTCTCCTGGAACCAGATCAGAAAACTCTCCACTGATTTGAGAGCAGTTACGCAATTCAACAGGTGCCACTTTGAGGGGGGAAGGGGCTGAATTAAAGGCAGATCATATGACGGGGATTTGGAGACAACTCCACAATGGGCACTTGACGAGCAGAACACTTTGAAGTGACAAACCATCTCCAGGCCCTCAGTGTTACTGTGTTTCATGAGATCACTGTACTGTGGCATGCTGGAACAAACGTTCTCATAGGTTTTAACAGCATGTACAGTCCTTCAAACATGCAAAGCGTGAGATGCTGAGCTGTTTATGAGCTGCACTAACCCACAAATCTGGGCAGTTGATCTGTAACATGTTCATGAGGGTGTATACAATTTTATATTATTATTATTATTACAGACTGATATTTTAAAAATGTATTACATTTAAATAAATCTACATAAAATTTGGTTATGATGGTTATATAAAGGGATTGTATAAAGAGTTGTTGAGTGTTGGCAGTGCGACTCATCCTCTCTCTTCTCCAGCGGTCGTACAGGTGGATGAACAACCAGTGAGACTGCAGCTTTGTGACACTGCAGGACAGGTAAGAACTCCACTGCACCACCTGCGTCCTAGTGTCATAGCACAACTTTACGATGCTCATTGCATCGTGTTGATTTGTATTAATTTTGAGTTTACCTCAAAGAGGAACATAAACTAAATAGTTATTTTTGTTTGGGGGGTTGGCATTTCTGTCACTCTCTGAAACCAGGATTTGGAAATTGGATGATAAAGTGATTGCGCAGCAAAATCGTAGTAATTAGAAGAGCTCGGCATGGATGCCATACTGTGAGGAAATCGTAAGAGAGCAAAAAGAACAATCCTCAAGCTATTGGCACTTTAGTTACTGGATCTCCCTCTCTTTTTCTGAGCCATGCAGGCTTGGACAGGGTACCATGTAACCAGCGGTTTTGCCTCCAAGTGATGCTTTTGATGCCAAACTTTTTTTCAGCACTGATTGTTTTGCAGTTGTGAAATCACTGAAAATAATTAAAAAGGCCCTTTGGCTGTACATTCATTCCGATTTTCACATTGGGATATTATATTGTTTCGTTGAAAGGTTTTGTTTAAGACTTTGAACTTCAGAATCTGACACTCCTTTGTCATGCGTTACATGGGTTAACAAATAAATGACTCTGCCCTCTTAGTACATAACCTATAAATCCCTTTACACAGCCATGCAGAGGCAAGCTCAGGCAAACACGGAAACATAAGACTTCAGTTACCCAGTTATAATACTGCAGGCTTTCACATAGTTTTCAAAGAGAAAGAACAAATGCACTTTGCCCAAAGTGGAGAAACAAAGGCTAGCATCACAAACGTCTATTGCTTTCAGCCTGTTTGGATATACTTCCATTATGTTGTGCAGGTGTCCATGTCAACAAAAGAAAACAGCCGTTGTTTGATGTCTGTGCATCAGTAAGTTGACATCTATGCACTATTAATTTTTCTTTTTTTTTTGAGTGATAATTGTAGGGCTGGGTGATATGACTGTATATACTGTACAAATCTGACATATTCACCTGTGTGTACCACAGTTCACCCAAAATAAAAACAGTAAACCGTAAACCCAAAATCTAAAAATCCAACACCAAGCAGTAACAACAACAACAACAATGATAATAATTGTTTTTATTATTATTATTATTATTATTATATTAATGAGTAATAATAATAGTAATAATAGCAATAATAATATGCCATTTCTATCTAGTTACTGTAAAACCTGCTTACAGTAAGCTACTGCATTGGCTGTTTAACAGTTATTTTTAGGTTACTGTAATCGGTGGCTGGAGCATATTACTGTAAAAACTGAAATGAAACCGTATCAAGCCTTAATTATTCTATACAGTAAATGAATTGCTGTAATAACCATATTGCTGCTATTGCATTATTTTTTTATTAAACATTAATTCAAAAAATGTATTAAAATATTTTAGTACAATCTTTTCATGTACATATTGTATAATTTTTACATGCATTATAAATAATAATGGTTACACTAATTAACATAAATTAAAAATAGATTAAAACACAAATTCATGTGCATTCAGTAAGTTTAATGTGTGACGTATGAATATGTAAATGTAACAAAAAGCTGCATAAATGTTATGTGTTTATTTATTTGCAGAATTATAGATTTACCTATATTCTTCTTTGTTTTTTTTTTATGTTTCACATTTTTTCTAAATCTTAGCATTTCGTAACGACAAGTAGATGTAGCATAGACATTGAAAAGGTTTGGCATTCTCATCTGTCAAGTTTAATTGGTGTTCTCAAAGTTTTGAGAGGCCCTGCTCTCCAAAAGCTCAACAGATTTATATTTTAATTAATTTGTACAGCATAAATGGGACCGGGTGTGCCAGAGTTGAAAACTTTGGCCGAGTTTAAAAGATTAAAGCAGGCACTGCATGTTCCACAACATGGCTTTGCTTTGCAAGCGCCAACCCTATAATTTCACGTAATTGCTTCAGGGAATTATAAAACACCCCAAGAGCTAGTTAAATTATTTTATTATTTAAAATAACAATTTGGAATCCCACAAATTATTTTTGAGGGCTTCACAAGGCCTTGTGTTACAAAACACTCTAAACATCAGTAATGATGCTCTTTTACCTCTGTCTCCACCTCAGGACGAATTCGATAAGTTGCGTCACTTCTGCTACACGCGGACTGACGTTCTCCTCCTGTGCTTCAGCGTCGTCAGCCCCACTTCCTTCCAGAACATCGGTGAAAAATGGGTGCCGGAGATCCGACGCCGTTGTCCACTCACACCTGTGTTACTGGTGGGCACCCAGTGCGACCTACGGCAAGACGTCAAAGTCCTCATCGAACTGGCACGGCGCAGAGAGCGACCCGTCCTGGAAGAGGACGCCCGCGCCCTGGCAGACAAAATAGGAGCGGTAGCCTACATAGAATGCTCTTCTCTCACACAGAAAAACCTTAAGGAGGTGTTTGACGCTGCCATCTCCGTCGGGCTCCGACACTCCGACCGAAGAGCCAGACGAGAGCGGAAGGTACACAGTACTGCTGATAAAATGAAAATGCTCTCAAAATCGTGGTGGAAGAAATATATCTGCATACAATAGCAAAGATCAAAGCAATCTTCTGAGGCATGAACAATGTGATAGACTCTTGTTTACTGTCACGCTCCTCAAGTGGATGATGGTCAGTTGATAACGAATCAACAAAGGACAGTATTGTTATTTTAAGGACAATGTGAATGGTTGCAAAATGTGCAGCTAGCTTCCCAGTAACCAAAGTTTACTGTATGCAGGGTCATCGATAAAAGTCACGAGGCCCGGGATGAAGATCTTCTACATTTGGGCCATTGAGTAGATTCAGGGGCCGTTTACACGACAACGTTTTCAGCCAAAAACTTGAAACTTTTTATGCGTTTTCCTGTTCGTTTACACGACAACGGCGTTTTGGGGACTGAAAACGCATATTTTTGAAAACCGGTTTCAAAGTGCACGTTTTTGAAAACGCCACCGTTGTCGTTTCCGTGTAAACACCCAATATGATAATCTTTGAAAACTGTGACGTCATGTGTGTGCGTAGTACGTGCAGTGTTGCCAGATTGGATGGATGATTTCCAGCCCAAAAGCTCATAAAAACCCACCCAAAATCTTAACTGTCAAAATAATATGATGGAATATGTAAATCAAGGTTGATAAGGGCCATTTTAACTCCTTAAAACAAAACAATGACGACAAAATAATATGAATATAACGTTAGATAAATTTCCCAGGTAAACGGATCAAATGTAGGGAAATAGCCTACATTAAAGAGAATTAGGCTACCGAACATGAATAAAATATGCAAGCAGACACTGTCAAAACTGCAATCAAGAAATTAACCGATACCCTCGAAACAACATGCATCATTTTCAATGTCAGCAGGCAGAATAATCCAATTTAAATGCAAAAAGTGCCCAATATAAGTGATAGGAAAAAGCAACGTAATTAGCAGGTATTTCACACTCGTTCATGCGCACACCATGAGTCAACTCAAAACTGTGCCATTCATTGATACTTAATTATAATCCGACAATTAAAAAAATAACAACAACAATGCGCTTACCTTCGTGTCGCTCTATAATTTTACACAGAACTAGAGGAAGCCTCTTGTTAAGTTCATATTGTAGAACATAATACAGAACTTTGCACAGTCAAAACTAATCAAGTCTAGCAGTTTTCAAGGATTTATCAATCTGGACCGTTTAAAAGATAAAAGACAGGATCGTATAAACACATATTTAGTCTCGGTTTTGATTAATTAATTCAAATGTGCTCTGATTTCGAAATTGCAGTGATAGAGTCTTCGTGTCATCTCACTCCACAATAATTCACGTTTTGAGAGTTGAGTCACTCTCCCACTCTTTAACTTATATTTAGGCATAGGCGTAATTTGCGGGTGGGACATGTCCCCACCACTTTTTGCCAGGGTCGATATTGTCCCTACCACTTTTTGAAAGTAATTGAAAAATATATTGCCGAAGGTATGTATTAAAGGGAAAACAAGATCAACAAATCATTCTTCATAATCGAATTAGGGTGATTAAAAAAACAACAACAACATTTGACTCCTTACGCATGCATAACTCGTGCAGTGCAAT